TAGAGTGTTTATTCCTAAAGAAAAAAATACAAAAAAAGGGGGGCCCTCCCTGGGGGGGTTAATCAAACTAAAGGTGCCCCCCGGATACAGGCCCCAGTTTTGTACCCCGGGGGTTCCAAAACGGTTACGGTGAATATAGGGGCTTGAACAAGACTATTTATTAGAATTTAATGACCTCCACCTCCTAGGCCCAGAAGAACCTTTGGGTTCGACCTCCTGGGGGAGGGCCTCCTTTCGGGCTGAAAGACAGGTTTTAAGCCTGGTCTATCCCCCCCCTGCCCCCGGCCCACCGAGACGAACGGGAGTAGCATGTGCCGGGTGGTGGTGGCAGGAAAAAAAAACAGCTAAGACTGCAGTCGCCAACAGCATCATTCCTTTGCATACTGTTCGCCAGGCTCCCCAAGAAGGGGGGGGGGAGTCGGCTCCCGAGTCCGCACTGGGAGGTGGTACTGCAGATCAAGGGTCAGGGTTTTCGGGGTCCATCCACACCTATCTACAGCTTTTGCCCAGCCAAACTCCTGCCGATCACGGACGAGAAAACACGCGACGGGCGGGCGAAATGCGACCTGTTGTTGACCAGGCGATACACCTTGACACGCCGAAGCAAACCATTGCCTGCGATCAGGAACCACCAAGGACCCAGAGGAGGGCCTTTCGATTGACCATTGATCAAAGACCTCTGAATGATGTCAGCGCGAGACGAACCAGCAACCAGGAACCAGTTGGGCAGAGCGGTGAATGAGGCTGTCAGCGAGCTGGATGGAGCTTGGCGACCAGGGCCAAATGGGATTGTCCCCTTTGCCAATGATCGAGCAACGGGTTCCCCATCCGTGGGCCAGCGGAGACTCGCTGCGAGACACTTGGCACAAGAGACCCTTCCAGATCGAATTTCGCGCCGGGGAACGGTTCAGCGCGACCCCCCCAGGCACCCAAGAGGGCCAAGTCCTGCAGGTCTTTCGTCTGGGGGGCGGCCACCCATCGCAGATCACCTGCCGTCTTGGGCCCTGAACCCCCCCCTCCCCTTGCTCGTCTCTGCCGTGCTACGTCATGGCCTGACTACGAAAACCACTAGCACTGCCAACCCGTCTGACACGACCGATGGGTAGAGCAGCACGACTGTCTGGCGAAGCCGCCGGGGGTCCCGCTTCTTCAGCACACGCTGGCGATCATGACATTTGCGCGCTCCGACGTTCTGACAAAACAGTACGGCTCGATGGGACATACGGGCCCTGACCGATCCAGCCTCGTCGAAACGACAATGCTACCACCAGCCGGGCCGCGCACCACCAGCACACCACCACGTTGCAGCGAGCAACGGCGAGTGCCACCAGCGGCGGGGGAGATCGTCAAGTGGCGACATTGTCAGCACCGAGGCAGCTGTCGTGCCGCAGCGCTCCTCTGCACTACCAGAACGAGACGAGCTCGCCGATCACGCAGCAGCCGAGCTGCAGAGGCAAGAAAACCCTTACACTTACAGTAAGGGGCCTAGGATCGTCATCAATGGACCCTTGAAGCCCGCAAACCCTGGGGCACAACAACAGTTTCTTCACGAGATGATTCAACAACTTCTTTTCATATTACTCATCCGTACTGTACCTATCGAGAATTGTCCTTCATCAATCCACACGTCCAGCATGTCCACCACTCTCGTTCCATTCTCGTCCCACAGAAGGAACACTGCCAAGTCTGGGGTCTGCTCTTCACCGAAGGGTTTGCGGGCGTCGCCGCAGGCAGCACACTTTTGGCCTTAGCCTTGGCCGTGGAGGGCGGACTGTCAGTCAGGTCTATTGTCGGTATGGATGCCGACGTGGATTTTGTCGACGCTGACGCCGATGCTGTTGCTAATGACAGTGGTGTTGTGCGTCTTTTCTCCTCGTTAGGTGTCCACAATGTTCGCGACACGTCTTCTCCCCGTTGTGTACCGCAGGCATCACAGGCGAGGAACGTGGCCGGGTTGTGCAAGGTACACAGGCCGCATGTCCATCCCTTCTGCGTAGTCAGCGACTGATCAGTCGGTGCCCGGGATGATGAAGCCAGGGGCTGCAGCGCCGATCCTGAGGTTGGCGGTCGCGTTTCTGGCGCAGGACAGGCGGCGGCGGCGGCGGCGGCCCGCCATGATTTGGCATAACGGCACCTCCTTGGCTGCCCTCGGATGTGGCACTTGGGGCACGTAGTAATTGCCCGGACTTTTGCTTTTTCTCCTCTTGCACGAGCTTCCCACAAGCGCTGCGAAATGGGCGGCCTCGGTCGCCCGCGTCCTCCTCGGGCCGCGTGCAGGAACCCGTTCCTCGTTGCCGTTTTCGAGATGGCTTGAATTTCCCGCTCCGTCATGGCTCACGGTGCCACAACCCCTGCAGCGTCGTATTTGCGCCGCTCCGCCGCCCCGGCGATCGTCCTTCGTATATCCTGCCCGGGGCTCGGCGCAGCTCCACCGAGCCTCTGCCCCGCGGGCGGTGACCGTCCATGCCCCTCTGGCGCGTCGCCTCTCTGCGCTGCGCGGGCCAGCCGCCGCGCCTCGTGCATGGGCTTCTGCCCGCCGCCGCCGAGGCGGTGACCCTCGGACAGGAACCCCTCGCCCGTGTGGCCCTTCATGACGAGTCCCATGTGCTCGTCGCGCA